CCCACCTCCCATTTCCTACGGTGGAGGGTGACTTCCTTGGTGTCCAGAGTGGCAGCTAATGTTGTTGGGTGCTAGAATCTGGCTCTATTGGCCCAGCCCTGCTCCTCTCCGCCTCCCTGGTGTCTCCTGCACAGCTGTCTGTTCTCTTTGGGATGAAAATGACTTGTGTCTGTCACTTTCTCCCAGCCGGATGCCGCAAAGCAAAGTTTACAAATGCCCACCGGGTGGCCTTTAGTACATGGGCCACCCTGCGGTCCTCCTTAGTGTGTGGGCCCCTGGCTGCACCAGGATCCAATGGGCGAAAAAATAAATAGATGAGGGCAGTGGAGCCTACGGGGCAGCTGCTTTGGGCCCCTAGGAGTACCTGGGCCCTGATGCAACTGCCCCATTTGCCCCGCATTAAAAACAGCCCTGTACTTGACCCACTATGTCAACAGCTAAACTGGCTATTGCTGGAATCCCGACACACTCTTCATCTTTTGAACCTTGTACACAAGAGCTTTTCTGGGAAGCTCCCACCCTAAGTGAGTAGAATGTTCTCCTCAGCTGTTCCCACCTCCTATGGCAATATACCTCAGCACAGAATGCACCTATCATGGTTGAATATATGTATTACCTGTTATGTGTTAAATTTATATATGAGTGTATGTGTATATATATATATTGCTTGTATATTGTATTTTTTTGTAATATTGTATCCCATTGTAACAATGCAATGCTTTGTAGAACCAAAACCAGAGAAATCTCAATGTATCCTTCCTGGTAAAATATACAAAAAACTCACAATAAAACATTCAATAATTATTTAGCCTGGTTTTACTGAACAACTACATACACATTAACAACCTACAATTTACATGTGAGTTTTATATCTGAATTCCCCGTCTCTTATATCAGCAATAATCACATTGTGATAAGCTTGTTAGACATAGCTTAGGTTTCCTAGTATATAAAATATAATTATATTAAGTAAGCAAGAACGGTAAAGGACAATTAAAAAGTAATAAAAAGAGAATTTTTAAAATTAAAATTGTCAGTTTTATATGGAAAAGATCTGGTGGAAATGAAATTTTTACTTACATAATTAAAATAAAACTTTAATTCTAAGTGAAAAGCAGACCTGCCAGTCATTTGCCATGGATTCCTCCAATCTAAAATTGGTGTCTTAGCTCCCTCACCTGGATAAGCAATGTATAAACACATACTTGAAATGGTGCCTCCTTGTATGCAGGATCAGAACCGACACAGTGTGTTTGCTAAATAAAGGATAGGAACCCGTGTTAAAAAATAATTAACAATGTAAGTGCTGAAATGTTTAACATACAACTAGCTGGATGCATTGTAAGATAAGAAGTAAAATTGGATCGTAAAAAATATTTTGGAGCTTATTCCTTTTAGCTGTGTTAAATACGTTGGAATTTTAACATACTGCATGTGGAGATTCATTTGAAATTGAAAGGCTGCATTGCCTTTCACCTTATAGTTTCAGAGAAAGAGCAGGACAAATTAAAATTTAATTTATTGAGCCTGTGAACATTTTGAGCTATATATATATATATATATATATATATATATATATGTTAAAATATGTAAAATTATATGCCAGAAACATATAAGTACAATGGGAATAGACAAAGTGTCGATTCACGAGGCATTGTGCGCAAAGAATATTGTGTAATATCACGTCTTGTGCAACACATGGACAAAACCTTAAAAATGAGTCATGGGAGGGCCAACTGGTTCTCCTTATTGTATCATATCATGAGTGACAGTGGGGTTTAAAACACTGAGCAGATTGGCAGATGTTTGCTAAGCAATCCTTTCCCCCACTGTTGTACTGTGGCTGATGGTTAAAATAATATAGATCCAGCAGACCCTTTCTTTATTAGTACTTAATGACAAGCCTTTGTATAATCAATTGGGAGGTATGGACTAAAGGACACATAATGACAATTACACAACACCTTAAGTGAAAAATATATTGAACAAAGAAGGGTATCCCTTTAAATTATTACAGACAGTGTGAAGTGTGATATATAAACAGAGAGGAAGCTATTGGTATATAACAGCGGCTCCCAAACTGTGTGCCATGGCGTTGTACTTACAAGATTCTGCTAAATAGCAACCATTCTCCATACTTTAAAATATATTAAAGAGGAAAGGGGTGATGGGTTAAAAGTTTAAAAAGGATTGGGATTAGCCATTAACCGAAATGGTTAATGCAACATTTAGATAATATGCCCCAAGTAGACTGTTACAAGATGTAACTGAATCTTATTTTAGGTTAGGAGAAAAAATATGTAATTGGAGTATTAATGCCATTAGAAATACTCCTCTAACAAGCAGATACAGAAGTCTAATAACAGACAGATGTAAATAAGGTTGTCTTAGGTAGACTTAAAAACAAGCTAAATTATTGATGGTAATTTCAGTCTGCAGGAACAGTCACTATGTTGTATATTATAATGCCTAACGTTGGCTCAATTTATAGAACTCATAAAAGCTAGGAGCTAACTATTAGTTATTTTACTAAGAAAAAGGCTCAGTGAAAGTATGTTGCAAAAGTCAACAATATTTCAAACTAATCATAGCGTAACTACCGAGAAAGAATATGAATTATTTTTACATTATGATTAGTATGTACTCTTATAACATTGATACAGGTCATATAAGGGTGCTGTTTAGCTATTATAGCCTTTATTGCAATTTGCAATATAAACTATTCCTCTTTCTATTTTCTCTGTTTTGGTCCATCACTAATTGGCAGAGTTTGAGGTGTTAATAATTCCTGTGCAAAGTCTGGTGGCACCCAATATCTTCCTTTATCTGAGAACCAGCAATTTATTATAGTTATAATTATTAGCTATTACTTTTACTATTTAAAGTGACTATAATCACCAGAACAACTACATCTTAATTTAGTGGTTCTGGTGTCTATATCCTGTCCCTGCAGGCATTTTAATGTAAACACTGCCTTTTGAGAAATAAAGCAGGGTTTACAATGATGCCTAAGGACACCTCCAGTGCTCCCTCAGACAGCCACTAGAGGAGACATGCAGGTTCGCCACACTCTGCAAGTTAAAATATTGATGCTTTTTAAAAAAACTACAATGTTTACATTGCAGGGTTAAATTGACCTCTAGTGGTTGCCTTCTTCTTCCTCAAGACAGAGTAAAACTTTGTCTGAGTTTCAAATGCTGCTGACAGTAGCATTTAATTGGGGGAGCAAGATATTTTGCTACACATGTGCTCTTCAATCTATTGCTTCTCTGTGAGAAGCATTGCATTGGATGAGATTGTGACTAACATCAGAATGCTTGCTGAAATTACCGGAGGCAGAGCTGGAGGATGCAGCAGAGGAGCCATTGTGCTGAAACAACATAGGGACATGGAAAGAGGAGGGGACATAAGAACTCAGGGGAGAGACTGTGGGGACTTAGGGAGAGGAGGGGGGCATGTAGAGAGTAGGGGACATGTGGAGAGAAGATTGGCATATAGACTTGGGAAGGCAAGAATACATTGGGACTTAGGCTGTCCCGACAGTGACTAATGTCACATCAGTGACCCCTTCACACAGCGAGAAACCCACAGAAGGACGGTTACCGGACCTTAGAATGGCCGGACTAGCATCTGAGAATAGTCAAAGGAATAGCTAGAGGTCAAGGGAATACGGAAGACGGGCACACGATTATCCAAGCCAAGTAACGGGAAACCAGAAAACAGAATAGTCGGAGAGATAGCCAAGGGTCAATTACCAAGAAGGACAAACAGAGATAATAGCACCAGGGGACTTTAAACAAGAACCACACTAGGGCATCTGACAAGTGTCATGATAGCCCTTTTATAGTGTGGGTTCTTTGGCTTTAATTTTGTAGCCACGCCCCCAAAAAGTCTGGGAGCGTGGCCACGTTTGAATTTTGGCGGCATTTCCTTTCTGACGGCGCGCATGCGCCACGTCATAAAGTTGGGCGTGTTCCGAGCGGCCGGCGTCAGAAGAGCTGAGCCGCCCCCCGGAAGTATCGGAGGAGGACCCGTCGCTGCGCGGGACCGGTGGGGAAAAGTAAGCGCTCGTTACAGTACCCCCCCTCAAAAACCGCCCACACGGCGGGTGGAACCAGACCTACAAGAGCGCCGCCTCTCAAACAGACGAACCAGACGGGCGTGAACATCAGATGCATCCACCCATGACCGCTCTTCGGGACCGTACCCTTTCCAATCAAGGAGATATTGCAATTTACCCCGAGAAACATGATCCTCCATGGGTGCGGCGGGAGGAGTGGAGATATTCTGAGTGTAACGATTACAAATGAAAGGTTTGAGAAGGGAAACATGAAAAGCGTTAGGAATCTTCATAGTATTTGGCAATCTCAAACTATAACAGACTGGATTGATGCGTTTGAGTATTTGAAACGGGCCTATGAAACGGGGAGCGAATTTCATCGAGGGTACCTTTAACTTTATGTTGCGGGTACTCAACCATACCCTGTCACCTGCTACGAACGTAGGAGCAGCCCTGCATCGTCTATCCGCATTATTCTTTTGAATCTGAGTCTTTTGAGTTAAGATATGTTTAACCCCTAACCAAGTTTCTTTCATATTGTTAAGAGTGCTGTCAACACTAGGCACTCCTGTAGATGAAAAAGAACTCGGCAAAGTTGTAGGAGTAAAACCATAATTAATAAAAAAGGGACTATGTTGAGTGGATTCGTGCATCAGATTATTATGGGCGAATTCAGCCCATGGAAGCAGTTCCACCCAATCGTCTTGGTGCTCAGAAGTGAAACAGCGGATGTATTGTTCCAGGCATTGATTCATCCTTTCCGTAACCCCATTAGATTGGGGATGGTAAGAAGAAGAAAGGTTAAGAATAATACCTAATTGGTCACAAAATGCCCTCCAGAACCGTGAAATGAACTGTGGACCCCTGTCAGAAGTAATATCTTGAGGTATGCCATGTAAACGTACTACCTCTTTTATAAATAAATAGGCCAGTTCAGAAGAGGACGGCAATTTGATTAGTGGGATGAGATGAGTCATCTTAGAGAATCTGTCGATTATAGTCAATATAACCCTATGATTCCTGGAGGGAGGTAGGTCCACTATAAAATCCATAGCAATACTTGACCAGGGTTTATCGGGAATGGACAATGGCAAAAGGAGGCCCAAAGGACGACCTTTGGATGACTTCGTGGAGGCACAGACCCTACAAGCAAGAATGAACTCGCGAACGTCCTTCTTGTATGAAGGCCACCAAAACTGTTCTTCGAGTAAAGACTCAGTTTTGTGAATGCCTGGATGCCCTGCCAATTTGGAGTTGTGTACAAGGAATAAGACCTTTTTCCTATAAGCCAAGGGTACGTATAATTTTCCCCTGGGAACAGTCAATGAGGTCTGATCCTGAAACCTAGATAATTCCTCCATTAACCCTGAAGAGATTTTGGCATGGACGGTGGCGATTATGTGGTTGGATGGGATTATGGAAGAAAAATGAGTTACTGTAGGTGATAAGTGTTCATGTTGACGGGATAAGGCGTCAGCCTTAGTGTTCTTTGATCCTGGTCTGTAAGTTACTATGTAATTGAATCGTGTTAAAAATAAAGACCATCTAATCTGCCTGTCTGACATTCTTTTAGTTTCTCCAAAATACGAAAGGTTTTTGTGATCCGTAAGGATGGTGATGGGAATGTTTGACCCTTCTAACAGATGGCGCCACTCCTTGAGAGCAGAGATAATAGCCAATAATTCCCTGTCCCCAATGTCATATCTCTTTTCTGTCTCAGTTAATTTCTTAGAAAAAAATCCACAAGGATGCAATGGTTGATCATCAGATGGACGTTGAGATAGCACCGCTCCAATACCGGTTTCAGATGCATCCACCTCTAATATAAAAGGACGAGAGGGATTGGGATGCCTCAACACCGGTGCAGAAGAAAAAGCCAATTTAAGTCTCTCAAAAGCTTCCTTGGCCTCGAGATTCCATTCCATAGAATTTCGTCCTTTTTTGGTCATGTCAGTGATAGGTGCAGTGATAGAGGAGAAACCCTTAATAAATTTTCTATAATAATTGGCAAATCCTAGAAAGCGTTGGATGGCTTTGAGTCCAACGGGCAGGGGCCAATTAAGGATAGCTTCTAGTTTTTTCTTATCCATTTGAAATCCAGACCCTGAAATTATATAGCCCAGAAAATGCACAGTGTCCTTATCAAATTGACATTTCTCCAACTTACAGTAAAGTCCATTTTCTATGAGTTTAGAAAGAACCAACCTAACGTGAGTATGGTGGTCTTTAATATTCTTGGAGTAGATTAGAATATCGTCTAAGTAGACAATAACAAACATCTGTAAATATTCCCTTAAATCATCATTAATGAAGTCTTGAAAGACTGCTGGGGCATTACATAACCCCAATGGCATGACCCGATACTCGTAGTGACCATAGAAAGTATTAAAAGCAGTCTTCCATTCGTGCCCTTTTTTAATCCTGACTAGATTGTATGCTCCCCTCAAATCCAATTTCGTGAAAATAGTCGCCCCTTTTAATCTATCGAAAAGTTCTGTAATTAAAGGAATAGGATAGGCGTTACGTATAGTTATTTTGTTTAAACCCAGATAATCGATACAGGGCCTTAAGTCCCCTTCCTTCTTGGAAACAAAAAAAAAACCAGCGCCAGCTGGGGAGGAAGATTTAGTAATAAATTCCTTTCTTAAGTTTTCCGTGATATACTCTTCTAGTACCTTATTCTCGGCTACCGAGAGAGGGTAAACTGTGCCTCTAGGGGGCATAGTGCCAGGTAATAAGTCAATGGGACAGTCATAGGACCGGTGTGGAGGTAATTTCTCTGCCTCTCGTGGTTCAAAAACTGCTTTCAGATCCCAATATTGTCTGGGTATCTGAGTGGTTAAAGGTTCCATAGTAGGTACATTAAGTAGACCTACGTGTTTAATAGGGGTAATACAAGTCTCACTCCATTTTACAATTTCTTTTTTCTCCCAATCTATAGAAGGGTTATGTTTAGAGAGCCAAGGAAAGCCAAGAATAACAGGAAAGATGGGAGAAGTGACCTGTTGCAGGATTATAACCTCCTTATGCAGGGAACCTACGGACAATACTACTGGAAGAGTCTCTTGTGTGATAAAAGGGATTGATAATGGTCTACCGTCTATGGCCTCAACGGCCAAGGGTGTTGATCTGTTTTGAAATGGGAGAGCATGTTCCTGACCGAATTTATGATCAATAAAATTTTCGGCCGCTCCAGAGTCTATTAAGGCAATGGTTGGCACCTTTTTTCTTTCCCACTCAATAACAATAGGTAGAAGAAGCCTATGATCTTTTTTATCATTAAAGGAGGACATACACATTACACCCAAGGCCTGTCCTCCTTGAGGGCTTAGGTGCGGGAGTTTTCCGGCCCGGTTAGGACTGGTTGAGCGAGAATGTCCCTTTCGGCCACAATATAGGCATAGTCCCTCCCTACGACGGTATTGTCTTTCATTCTCAGACAAACGCGTAACTCCCAGTTGCATAGTTTCTGGAGGAGCGACTGCTGTTGTCTCGGATGAAGGATAAGTTAATCCTAGGCGTTCTGGCACCCGTCGAGGTCTGTCTCTAGCATTCTGTCTGTGTCGGAGACGCTCATCAATGTGGGAAAGGTATGTGATCAGTTCCTCTAGCACATTGGGTAAGTCTCTAATGGCAACTTCATCTAGAAGTTTATCTGAAAGCCCGTTCATAAATACGTCAACAAACACTTGTTCATTCCATCTAACTTCGGCCGCATGGGTACGGAATTCTAGAGTGTAATCAACAAGAGAACGAGAACCCTGTCTCATACATAGCAAGGTCTTGGCAGCATTAGTTCTCCTCCCTGGAGGATCAAAAGCCCTCCTAAAAGCTGCGACAAATTCTACATAGTTAAACACTATCGGGTTATCGTTCTCCCATACAGGATTCGCCCAAGTCAACGCCCTATCAACCAATAAAGTGATGATGTAACCTATTTTTGCCCTATCTGTAGGGTATGCTCTCAGATGAAGCTCAAAATAAATACTAACTTGGTTCAAAAAACCTCGGCAACCTTTAGGATCACCCCCGTAACGGAGAGGGGAGGTAGCATGATTAGGAGTACCCATAGTAACCATTTCCATGGGTTGTTTCTGAGGTCTGAGTACTGGGATTTGCTCCTCCGGTTGGAGATGGGCAGTACGAGCTAGCAAGGATTGTACCGCAATAGTGAACTGGTCCATGCGATGGTCCAGTTCTTCAAACCAGTCATCAGGTACCGGCCCGAGAGGGTTAACACCTGCAGGGTCCATGGCCCTAGTGTAATGTCACGACAGTGACCAATGTCACAACAGTGACCCCTTCACACAGCGAGAAACCCACAGAAGGACGGTTACCAGACCTTAGATTGGCCGGACTAGCGTCTGAGAATAGTCAAAGGAATAGCCAGAGGTCAAGGGAATACGGAAGACGGGCACACGATTGTCCAAGCCAAGTAACGGGAAACCAGAAAACAGAATAGTCGGAGAGATAGCCAAGGGTCAATTACCAAGAAGGACAAACAGAGATAATAGCACCAGGGGACTTTAAACAAGAACCACACTAGGGCATCTGACAAGATAGCTTTTATAGTGTGGGTTCTTTGGCTTTAATTTTGTAGCCACGCCCCCAAGAAGTCCGGGAGCGTGGCCACGTTTGAATTTTGGCGGCATTTTCTTTCTGACGTCGGCGCGCATGCGCCGCGTCATAAAGGTGAGAGTGTTCCGAGCGGCCGGCGTCACAAGAGCTGAGCCGCCCTCCGGAAGTATCGGAGGAGGACCCGGCGCTGCGCGGGACCTGCGGGGAAAGGTAAGCGCTCGTTACATAGGCAGGGGAGGAATTTGCAGAGAGGAAGTAGCACAATGTTATTTTTTTATTTGGTTTAAAAATGATGCATATTTATTTCAAAGATATATATAAAATAAACAATAACTAGCTAAATTTTAAGATGGGCTATACATGTATGTGAGAATGTAATTGTGTATAACAAAAGTGGCTTCCCCTCACCCCAAAACAAATCTTTTACTATTAAAATGTAATAAAATATATGGGTATCTATGCACTGAAAGGCTTTGCTTTGTGTATAGAGTGCCACCTACTATTGGACCACACACACAGTTAGATTTAAATCACAAGCTTCCAAACATTTACTCAGATACTTGCACATATCTCACACTCACAGACAGTCCCGTGAACACTTTCACAGATACACTCCTAAACATGCATACTTACAGACACACTCAGACACCATCAAAGACACTTACATTTACAACACAAACTCTTACAAACTCTCCTAAACACTTCATACTGTCACAGTTGCCCATACACACAATCACTCCAACTATATTTTGCTATATCTGTGCCATAATAAGGAAAATGGACAGAAAATGACTCTTTGCTAGTGCAGCAATAGCAAGCATGAAATAACACAGCAGAGAGACAAAGAATAGATTATGGGCCCGCAGTGGTACTACTAAATCTCACAAGAAGGCTGGGGATTATATAATAAAATCTATTCCGTCCGGAAGTTCCAAGAGGCAACCATGATTCCCACTCTACACGTGCAGTGGATTGTACTTTAATGTAAAACCAAAAAGATACGCATAAACAGGGAATTGGCATTAAAGGGATACTTTAAGCACCAAAACAACTTTAGTTTAATGAAGCAGTCTTAGTCTAAAGATCATGCACCGCAGTGTCACTGCTCATTTCACTGCCACTTAGGAATAAAATCTCTTCTATCTCTGTTTATGCAGCGCTAGTCACACCTCCCCTATCTGGGACTCACATTGTCTCCATGAAAACATGGTTTCCTTTTCAATCAGATCTTACAGTGCAGTGTGTTTCTTTTAGAATTTATCTCCTGCTCTGCTAATTGAACTTTAATCACATGTGAGCTTCTGCAGGTTCTAGCAGGCGAATTAACAGAGCATGAGACAAGAAATTTTAGATTACACCTACCCAACAAATGTAGGCTTTTTTTCAGTGCCGATGTGTGAGTCACAGCGAGGGAAGTGTAGCTAGGGATGTATAAATAAAGTGATTTAACTCCTAAATGGCCGAGAATTGAGCAGTGAGACTACATGGGCATGATCTATACACTAAAACCACTTAATTAAGTTAAAGATGTTTTAGTACTTATAATGCCCTTCTATACATTTACTATCATGGATATTTCCAGGTTACTAAATATATCATGTGAACATGTTCCTTTAAGAATTATAATACCAGGGGTATTCAAAGCGCTTTTTAAAAATTTAATAAAATTAATTCCTCCACACCCTGAAGCTATGTACTTTGTTCTTATGTTCTGCATTTCGAAAGTCTAATAAAAATTCAAATATGAAAGAAATTTAATAAAATATTCTATTATA